CTGTACTGTAAATGTTATTAATAGTGAATTAAAGAGAGAATCTAACGACACAACAAAAGTATGCATTTCTTTATTATGCAGTGCAGTAAAAAAATGAATTTTAAATTTTACGGTAATTTGCGTTTTTTTTTAGTGTGTTCCACTTGTAATAGAGATCCAAACCAAAATGTACACACATAAAATTGCAAATATGCATACATCTATATCTTATTTAACTGGACAACCCACCCATTTTTTAATTGTAGGCACTCAACTCGTCGTCTTGGAAAGTTTAACTGTTGTGTGACACCTGTATATAATGTGTATAATTTGATGTCAAATTAAAGCAGGAAGGGACATTCCGGATCAATGCGTTTACGCCCATGTAATTCACCTACACATATGCACTAAGTTGTTGTGTAAATGATCTTATTATGTGGCACGGGCTGTGAACTAATTTACAGCGTGTTTTTTAAAATGATATAACGAGAGGGGAACGTTTTGAGTGTGCTGCTAACTTCGGCATCCAACAATCAGTGTCCAAACAACGAAGGCGTCTTTCATCTTGACCCCAAATATTATATTATCTGACGGCCAAGCCAACACTGTGTATTCCTAACCACCTCATTGTCAATACGCGAAGATTCTCTGGCACAACCCTGAATTAATATCTATGTAAATGACAGAGAATATTAAAACAAAGACTGAGCAAAAAGCCTTGCAATATTAAATACCACACATAATCCTAAAGTCAGTGTAATGAGTTAATAACAGGTTTGGTATAAAATGTCAATGTCATCACCAAATATCTTTACACCATATTTATATCAATACTTATTTCTTTTCCCTGGGCCATGTTTATTTTTTACCTGATGTAATTAACACACATATATTTGACCGGATCATATCTCATTTACATATAATTTACATATTGACTGTTACAGGAAGAAACGAGGACAGACGATTACGAGGATTATAAGTTAGCCAACATGACAACGCCCCCAGACGACCAAATAAATGCATGGTTCGCTGCGACTGGTACCACAAAGGTAGGAAAACAAATTAAAGTATTCTAGTTGAGTAACTACCAAGTAAACAAACACACACACACAAACAAACAAACAAACAAACAAACAAACAGATGCAATTAACTCGTTTGTATTAGTATCATTTTCATAAACCTATGGTCGACACATACTCCGTATTGCTATAACTTATTCTAGTTGAGTAACTACCAAGTAAACAAACAAACACACAAACACACACACACACACACAAACAAACAAACAAACAGATGCAATTAACTCGTTTGTATTAGTATCATTTTCATAAACCTATGGTCGACACATACTCCGTATTGCTATAACTTATTCTAGTTGAGTAACTACCAAGTAAACAAACAAACAAACAAACAAGCAAACAAACACACACACACACACACACACAAACAAACAAACAAACAGATGCAATTAACTCGTTTGTATTAGTATCATTTTCATAAACCTATGGTCGACACATACTTCGTATTGTTATAACTTATTCTAGTTGAGTAACTACCAAGTAAACAAACAAACAAACAAACAAACAAACACACACACACACACACACACACACAAACAAACAAACAAACAGATGCAATTAACTCGTTTGTATTAGTATCATTTTCATAAACCTATGGTCGACACATACTCCGTATTGTTATAACTTGTCATACACTCTAAACGACAAATTACATCCAAGATCAAGTAATGTACAAATGTATTATGAAAATGACGATACAATTCCCATGATACAAAAACAATGTACAGCATATCAGTATAAGATACAAACATACAAATAATTTGAATAAGTAATAGAATGAAATTATTATATCTTTGTTATTAGTCAGATTAATTGCACTGTGAGCTATGATTTTTGTTTTCGGGGGGCATAAAATATTTCTTGAATATAGCTACGAAGAATGTACTCGAATAAAGAACAAGTGAAGATAATTTTATATTCTAATGATGCAATGATACAGAATGGATGTTTATAATTGTTAATCCAATAATTATGGTAGCCACATTCAGTGTTATTGTTATAGTATCGTGGAGGCAACATTGTCGTGAAACAACAGCCTCTTTACGGCACCTAAGTCAGTCTGCGTAGTTTCGCTGAGTCCCGAAGCGGAAATAAGCTATAGTGGCGAGAATTGAGGGCAATATGAAATCAATAAGTGCAGGACATGATGCATTCAAGCGGATCATAAAAAATAAACAACACTGATATACCATAGAGTAGATAGACACCAGTGGACACTGATATACCATAGAGTAGATAGACACCAGTGGACACTGATATACCATAGAGTAGATATACACCAGTGGACACTGATATACCATAGAGTAGATAGACACCAGTGGACACCGATATACCTTGGGGTTGATAGACACCAGTGGACACTGATATACCATAGAGTAGATAGACACCAGTGGACACTGATATACCATAGAGTAGATATACACCAGTGGACACTGATATACCATAGAGTAGATAGACACCAGTGGACACCGATATACATTGGGGTTGATAGACACCAGTGGACACTGATATACCATAGAGTAGATATACACCAGTGGACACTGATATACCATAGAGTAGATAGACACCAGTGGACACCGATATACCTCAGGGTTGATAGACACCAGTGGACACTGATATGCCTTGGGGTTGATAGACACCAGTGGACACTGATATAC